GGGTAATATTGGGGTAATATTGGGCGAATTTTTCCAGCTGCTTACATTGAGGATTAAGGGTTTAGGGTTTGCGGTTAAGCTTTAGGGCTTATTAGGGTTTTAAGTTTAGGGTTTAAGGTTGGGGTTTTGGGGCGTAGGATTTGGGACGGCGGGTTTGGGTTCAGTTCGGTGTTCAGGGTGTAGGGGTGCCCACTAGATAGAAATCTTGGTATGCTGTAGGGTGTGGGGTTTAGGACTAAGGAAGAATCCCTGTTGGTTCTGGGAGTTTGGGGTTTTGCACGTAGGCGATGTCAGGTATGGAATTGAGGGGCTGCAGAAGGGGCTTCACTAAACCCTAAACCCTAAACCTTGAATCTTGAACCGTGAACCCTAAAACTCGAACCTGGAGCCCTAAACCCTAAACTCTGAACCCTAAACCCTAGACTCTGGAGCTTTTGCTGGAGGGCCTAAGCTTGAGCTTCCGGCCTGAAATCTAACCTTGCTTCAGAAGGGGGAGTGGTAAAGTCATGGGCTTATACAACTTCTATATGCTTCAGGCCGGGAGTTTCGTGCAGATTTTTGGGCGGGTTGTGTGCGTTATCCTTTTTTACCTTGCGTTCTACAGCTTGTACTTATCTGGAAGGGGTAGGGTTTGGGGTTTAGGGTTCAGGTGATGAAGTAGCTTTAGGCAAGAAGCTTCTACCCTGGATGAAGAACAGCGCAACCAAGATCATCTACGCCGCGCTGGATCTCCTACCCTGGATACTTCCCACTGCCTTTGGAGATCCAGCTTTTATATGAACTCCATAACCTTTACCTTAACCCGCAACTCTTAAGCCCTTGGCCCTTAAACCCCAAAACCCGAACCCTAAATCTTAATCGCGGCACATAGAATATCTCAGACCCCTAAACTCTGCACTCTGACCCTATGAGCTCAGCCCTGTAGCTCTTGCAGGCATCCCGTCTCTCGGCTTGATATATGGTTCTTGATTTAACGTAAGTGTTTAGGGTTTAGGGTCCGAATTTACAACTAAAGTGACACTGGTCCTGACTGTAGTACGGCCTCAAAACAAGACCGGTTCCAAAGTACCTTCACACGCTCCAAAACCGTAACTCCCATGCCCTACACCCGTATGTCTGAACCCCGTGACATCTAAGCCCATTACCGTACCCTGCAACTAAGTCTTCACTGAAGCTCCCTAAAATCTTGAATACACGGGAACTCCTCGTATAATTCCCCAATGGCACCCTAAACCCCCCAAACCCTCAAAACCCTCAAAACCCTAAACACTATGCCTGAACTTCTTTGCCCAGAGCACCAGCCCCTAAACCCTAACCCCTAAACCCCAAACCCTATACATACATATATATAGTCCCCTAGATTATCCCCTAGAACTTCTTTGCCCAGAGCACCAGCTTGTGGTCAATTTCCAGAAAGCGGCACTCCAGTAGAGGACGCTGAGCTGCATGCGGGCCGCCGGGAGGAACCTTCCACAGTATGGAGATTATGTATTCAGGCTTTGGGGTTTAGGTATTTCACAAAATTGTTGTTTCATTGTTTGGGGGGGTGTTGTGGGTGCTGAGTCTAGGGCTTTTAGAGGGTTAAGGGTGTAGAGTTGAAGGCTAATTTGGGCTTACTTAACCAGAAAGAGGTCTCCACAGCGGCTCACTTAAGCAGCTTATGGGTTCGTCTCAAAAACACCACTACAGATTCCTCGAGGGAACTGCCGTAGTGCGTAGGTAACCCACCTATATCAACTGCCTCCCAAAGGGCAACTCTAAAATTAAGGCCAAGAAGTTGGAAATAGTGTAGAAGCCTGAATAGTTGTTGCCAACGTTCTTCCCAAAAGACAAGGGGAGGTATGACCATCAACCCTGTTCTATACGCAAATATACTCAAAAGACACAGAACCCC